ACCACATTTTGTTTATCCATTCACCTGTCTGTGGCTATTTGGGTTGCTTTTACCTCTTGTCTATTGTGAATAATGAGCTGCTACAATGAACACAGGTGTGCAAATATCTCTTTAAGATCCTACTTTAAATTCTTTTGGCTATATACTCAGAAGTGGGATTGCTGGATCTTAAGATAATTCTGATTTTAATTTTTTGAGGAACTTACATACTCTTTTCCACAGCAGCCCTGCCATTTTTCATGCCTGCCTCCAGTGCACAATTTCAGTTGCTCCATCCTCACCAAAAACAGTTACTTTTTTTTTTAACAGTGGCACCCTCCTGGGTATAAGGTGATATCTCCTTGTGGTTTTGATTGGCATTTTTTAAAGATTTTTTTAAAATTTTTTGTTTCCTTTTTTTTGCGGGGGAAGGTAATTAAGTTTATTTACTTATTTGTTTTTAGAGGAGGTGCTGGGAATTGAACCCAGGACCTTGTTCATGCTAAGCATGCACTCTACCACTGAGTGCATGTCCTCCTTCCTTGATTGGCATTTTTTATTTTAAAATAATTAACAGATTCACAGGAAGTCACAAAAATTGTAGAGCAGTCTTAATATATCCTCCACCTATTTTCTCCCAACAGTAACATCTTACATAACTGTAGCACAATATCAAAGCCAGGAAATTAATATTGGTGCAACACACAGACCTTATTTAGACCTCAGCAGGTAAAACTTTCACTTTAGTGTATGGGCGTAGCTGTATGCAGTTTTGTCACATGGGTAGTAGATGCCTTTCACCGCCACCGTGATCAAGGTACAGCGCTGTTTTCATTACCACGAGGACCCCTCTTGATGTCTCTTTATGGTCGGTCACAAGCTTCTCCCACCCCTTCCTAGGCCCAGGCAACCGCTACTCTGTTCTGCATTTTTATAATTTTGTCACTTTGGGAATGTTACATAAATACACAAATGTTATATAATTTTGTCACTTTGGAAATCATACAGCATGTTTTGACGTTAGCTTTCATCCAAAATTCGTCGAAATTATTGCATATATCAGTAGTTCATTCCTTTTTGTTGCCAAGTAGCATTCCATGGTGCGATGTCCCACAGTTGTTTCATTCATTCACCTATAGATGAACTTTTGGGATGTTTTCAATTTTGGGCTGTTACAAGTGTTAACTAACAAAAATTCAACGGAGTAAATTTAAGGATCAAATTGGCTTTATTTAACATTTATGAATCAGGCAGCATCCCATCTGGCAGGAGAAAGGAGCCCCATAGAGCTGCAGAAAAGGAGGTTTTCAAAGGCTGAGAGGAAGGAGAAAAAAGGAAACTGTTCGCAAAGCACACCTGTTCTAGGTAAGGATGCCCTCCTAAGGGGAAGGGAAAGGGTGTATCCTCAGATTGCCTCCTAGTGCCGACCAGGACATTGCGGGTTGTCTGGTTGAAGGTCACATTCCCGGGGAAGCTTGAACTGCAGTTGGGTTAGGTATTAAGACTTGGTTTGCTGCCTGGGACCTAACACAAGTGACTCCATTTGGGGCATGTTGTCTCCTTTTTAACACAAGCTTCTCTGATCATTCATGCACATTTTTGCATCTACATTTGTTTTCATTTCCCTGGGATGAATACCCACTAGTGTAATTGCTGGGTTATATGCTAAGTGTATGGTTGGGTTTTTGAGAAACTGCTAAGCTACCTTCCAGATGGGCTGTACCATTTACACTCACACCCCCAGTGTCTGGGAGATGCAGTTTCTCTGCATCCTCTCAGCATTTGGTATTGTCACCATTTTTTATTTTAGCTACATAATCCTTGTGTAGTGGTATTTGATCATAGTTTTAATTTGCATTTCCCTGATGATGATGTTGAACATAATTTCATGTGCTTATTGCTGTGTGGATA